CAGAATAAATCAATCAACCTGATTGCCATCCCACAGCATTGACGGTTTATGTCATCATGATCAGTCCACAACTGCACTCACTGTATAACTGTTTTTGTTAAGCACTCAGTAGCCTATAGCAGTGGCAGTGAGCAGGTGAGACCCAGATAGACTGCTCGGTGGTACTTCATCACCCTGCTTGTTGTTGTCACAGCCACAATTGGTTTGTACTCCCCATCTGCTGCATCAGCAAAGTCAGGACTGATTTGGTCACTTTGGAGCCCAGTTAGCTTTGCTCACTGCACTTCCCTGTTGATTCCAGCCATCATTACAAATGGTATCTTTATGCGGTGGAGTTAACCCGGATAGTGCTCTCCCCTGGGTGCCTTTATTATCTATTCATCATGTTGTCCCAGTTTATCTCAAGATGAATCTGGTTGCTACACTACAGATCTAACTACAGATACCTGGCGTGTGGCCTGGGGAGAGAGATTAGGAGATTACAAGATACTCAGCGGAGGTGCTTCAGTTAGAGTTGATAAGGAGGTGAAAAATATTCAAAGAAGATGTGGAATGGTCATGAATTTATGTTTACGTTCTTTTAGCACCAATTTGTCTTCAAAGTAGGCTTGAATATGTTAAAACTGCCTTGATATACAGTAATTTCCATGGTGACAATTTGCACAACCAGCCAGGGGCAGCCTCAGTGTGTCCAATCTGGTAAATAAATGAACATTTGAAACATTGAAATGAAATGTTCTTGGCCTCGTATTTAGCCTCCAAGCAGACATGTAGGACACTCCCTGAAATTTCCTCCTCGCTAATTTGCATTGCTGAGTAGATCCTTTGTGTCACCTGGAGGTTTGGGCAGAGCGACGATGCAGCCAATTTCCAGATGGTAATTCAAATGTGTAACATATCCTCAATTTTTGACAAAAAATACACAGCCACTTCCACAGACTCCATTAGCTTGGACGGATGCGTATGCGTAAGCGTGCACAAATGGAAAGTGGAAAGTGTCCAGTGGTGTGAATATTCACATCTGCACCTGCTGAATAATAGACGATTATCAGCTCAGGTGGCTCGCCATCCACCCCTATTCACATGCTCTCTTCCATTTCATGCTGCTAATTTTGTCTGGAATACTCAATAGGCTTGCAAAATGCATATTTCTTGTCTCTTAGACCTGATCTTGTCTTGTATTCTGTCTAAAGAGGGAACATATTCTTCAATAAGAGTGCTTGCTTTGGGGAGTAATGTGTCTGCAATATAGACTCTAAAGAGCCCCGGGTCTTGGCAGGTACTCCTTACATTTCAACAGGACAGAGACACCTACGGCAGATTCTGTGGCAGCAAGGCCATATATCATCTGTCATTGCCAGAAGCCTCCACAGTAATGAACAAGTAATAATGGTATATATCTTGAACTTGAGTCTCTAAAGGTAGCTCATCCAGAGTCATTATTGTGCCACATAACCAGATGAGCTTTCTCAAATGAGATCATTTTTGTCACCCTGAGGACTGGAGGGTGTAACTGTTCTCAGAGTGAATAACTCACCCTCATTTGGTGCTAATGGGACTCTGTATTAAGGTGTTGTGCGAATGCAAGAGGAATGGTAAATCCCATTTTCTTGTAATTTGAATCTCAAGCTGTTTCCACACATCTGTTCCCCTGGAAGAAAGGAAGAGTCTTTTGAGGAAAAAAATGCACGCAAGGGATAAAAAAGGAGCATTTAATGAAGATTCATGCCTCACACGATTGTGCTAGGCGATGGTGTGTTATGGAGAGGTATGTCATGATGACATCTTTGTCACAGAAATGAGCATTATTCACTCCGTCCATTCATCCACCTACCGTTCTATCCCACCCCCTCCCTCCATCTGTCCATCCATCCCAGTTTTTTCCAGGTATTGCAATGCTACAGTTAACCCATAATGAGGGATATGCATATGAAGCCAATGGTTTTCTGCATATTTGACAGCATGTGTTCTGAGCCTCACCAGTGATGTGTTTGCACATGGCGTGGGGGTGCTCTGATGGTTACAGCTGAGGTGTCATTTTTCATGTAAATAGAGGATGGCAGGATAAAACAATCCTGCTGTTTGTGAAATCAGCCGTGGTACACATATGCACATCAGTGGTACAGATCTCCTCCTAAACACTGATGGCTGTACAAAGGCTTTGTCTTGTACCAGTCAGCCAGGACAAAAAATGTTTCTACACAAAGTTACTGTGATATGAAGCTGTTAACTAACAATGTCCAGATGAGACATGCTGCACAAGCAGCTGCCTGAGTGGGCAATCCACCCCAACCGCCTCATCTCCAGAGTCCAATTCAGCAAACACATGATTCAACCTGTCATTCATAAGTGCTGATGTAGCCATGCTCAGAGCAGAGCCACAGAGTCCCCAGAGTTGGATATCACTGCTAACTGTCATCCAAGTACTTTGATTACTGCACTGGGAGAAGAATGATGACTAAGGCCACAGTAAAGTCCTGGTCAGACTCTGTAAGACTGTCGAGGAAAGTGGATCAAGTCCAAGGTCCCATTTACACCCATAACATTTATATAATGCGTTCAAGGTTTGTGAATGTAGACCTCTACTGCTGCAAAATACTGTTGTGACACCTATTAGAAAATGATTGGTGCAATAAAATAAATATGAATGAAACTGTTTATTTTGAGGGGAAAAAAGTAAATTTCTGTCCTTATTTTACAAAATCTAATTTTTACTTGTATGTTGTTCTACAATTATTAAAGAACAAGGCAATACTTTAATATATGTCCCCTATTTAGCATTTAAAAGCAGTATATAAATGTTTAATAAATGGTTTATAACACACTAAATGTAGTTACTACTGCAGTAGTAGGCAGATATTAAGTGTTTATTGATTGAACTTGAACATGAAGCATCCATAATGGTACATATACAGTACACTTGCCAAAATATGCCAGATAGAGAGATAGATAGTAGATAGATAGAAATATTAAATAAATAGAAATAGAATACTTATATTATTATTAATACTTATACTATAACATTAACAGGGTTGAAGTTAAATGTTACAAGTATATTTGGACCAAAAATCGGAACTATGGTTGGCACAGCAGCTCACTGTACATGCTGTACATTCTGTACATTCAGCATCTCTTGCATGTCTGTCTGTTCTGTTCTCATGGTTTTCTTCCCTATTAAAGTCAAGAAATTTTTACTCATACAGCCCAGTATCACAAATCACAAATTTGCCTCAAGGGGCTTTACAGTCGATACAGTATATGACAACATGTAACCTAAGACGCTCGACGAACTAACTGACTAAGTCAACTTAAAGGATTCAAACTTGTGATTTTCTGGCTATAAACACTTGACCTCACTTAAGTCTTGGCCTCACTCAAGTCAAGGTCAAGTCAAGTTAATTTTATATTGTTATGTAATATATTATTGCATTACTATTACCAATGCTTTAATATGTAAGCAACCTCTCACCATGGTAGTTGGTCAAGGTAGACCTAATTTTAACAGTTTTATATGCTGTTGGGTAGTTTACACCAATGCATTATATTTTCTAAACTCATTATATGTTTTGTCTGTAAAATCTTAATCTGTTAAGGAACTAGTAACTAAATGTAGTGGAGTAAAATGTACAATGTAGCATGCCATGGAAACACTCAAGTAAAATAAAAGTACAAGTACCTCAAATGCAATGTCAAAATTGCCTGTAAGTGTGAGAGTGAAATCTGAATGGCCACCCTAGGTCCCACCCCATTGTGGCAAACTATGGCTGGCTCTCCGCCCAGTCAGTGGCACGACCTTAGTTGGAACCAACTGTTGGATGAACAAACCGAACTTTCATTTATAGGTGCTTGTTTGTTTTAGTTTTGTTTGTAGTATATTTTATGACTGTATATTTTAATGTTCATTGTTTTCTTTTCTATGTAGCCTTTTTGGGGGGTGAAATTTCTTTTTAAGGACTGAAAGAATTAAGTATGGAAGCTTCACATTACATTTGTCTGGTGCCACTCTGTTGTGTTGTGTTAGGTCTTTATCTTTTAAATAACAAATATGAAGCACAAGCAGGTAAGAAAACTCCAGTGTGAGTAAGCAAAGTAAATATGTGTACAGGAGACAGAAATGCAGACGTGTGCGTACGAGCACATTCTGGCCACCCCTGCATCGGTGCCCCACTTGGCCCACCTCAGTAAAAACAGTCTGGACATGCCATTGGATATAACCACCATTATGACTCTGAATTGATTATCAGACATACAGTATTGTCTGTCCACAAGGTAAACTGAAAAAAATATAATCTCTGAATCTTTTTTTAATTCAACATTTGTAAAGGAAGTGGAACAAATAGTTTTCAGCTAGCGCTATGAAGATACTTAAAGAACTCCTTAGAGAAAAAGCACATGAAGAACTTTTTATCTCAGTCTTTAAGTTGCTGGGGGGAAAGACAAATTCAAAAATGTAAATGCACTACAGTATAGGCTTTTACGTGAAGAAAGATTCTTCCCCTTAGGGCCACATGAATGGGATTCTGATTTGCAGTAGAACATACTGGAATGTTCCATGTCCTTTTGCACTTGAGATTAAACCAACACGTGTGCATAAGGTTCCACTAATATCTCTAAGAACTGTTACTTTTTTGAGAGATGATTCACTGCCAGCTTGGTGCCATATTTAAGTTTAAGGGGCCGACACGAGACAAAAAAGTGTGAAGAGATTATGGTCAGCCAAGGATGGTATGTGAAATATTTAAATTATTTTAAATGCAATATGTAGTACACTTTCAAAAGACAGCAGGTGTAGCTAACAAAATAAACATGGTTGTGTTCCAAGTGTAACAGCGTTTGAGAGCACCAATGTATTTCTGTGTGTTTTAGGCTATGAGATCATGGCAGTGACCTCAACTGATTGAGCTTACACAGCATCCTATCCCCAGTCCTGCCCACGTGTAGTGGGTGGAGCAGGAGCAGTGTGCTATCTGTGGACTTGCAAAGTGACATGACCAGCTGGGGTATGAAATCCAGTAAGACAGGCAGTTGGTCTGGGAGACGCAGACCACGAGCCCCCAGTAGTGCTCAGTTACAACAGCCTGCAACTCAACTCGGTGAGGAAAACTCAACAAGGATTCACTGTAACTGCTGCCAAACAGTTCTACAACAACCTGTGGAACTGATCATGTTCTGTGTAGCTCGTTCAAGAACCCTAGAGATCAATCAGCAGCAATTATCCTCAGCAGTCGTTCAATGTTGGTGATTCAGCTAATCGCATGCTGACATCTTGTTATAGGCGACAGAATCAACAGTACTGCGAGGACGATGGGTGGGAAGCAATCTCGCAGTTTCGCCAACAAGGAGTTGAATGAGGTGAGTGTGAGTCAAACGAGGAAGAGTGCAGGGAGAGACGATCAGCCCAGCCTGTCCTCGGCTGCTGAGAGGATCCGCAGACACGCCACGGTGCACTTTGGCTACAGCACCCTCAGCCTGGCCATGCGGGGGCTCGATGGGACCCCAACTGAGCTGTGGGAGCTCCGAGAACTGCAGAAGCTAAACTTGTCCATGAACTGCCTGTGCTCTTTGCCCCCTGCGCTGGGTACTCTGAATAATCTGGTGGTCCTCAACCTGTGGGGTAACAACCTGTCAAGCCTCCCGCCCGAGATTGGCCTCCTGAAGAAGCTGCGCGTCCTTTTTGCATGTCGCAACCGCCTGAGCGAAGTCCCAGAGGAGCTGGGCTCCTGCACCTGCCTGGAGGTGCTCAGCCTGGCCAACAACCAGATCACAGGCCTCCCTGGCAGCTTGGCAACCATGCACAATCTGACCAAACTCAACCTTAGCCACAACCGCATCGTTCACATCCCTACCTGCGTCTACAGCATGAAGGGCCTGGTCTTTCTTCACCTGGCTTGCAACCGTCTGGAGACCATTGCGGACCAGATCCAGGACTTGGTTAACCTGAAGATCCTCATCGTGGAGGGAAACAGCATCCACACACTGCCTAAGACGTTGTGCTTCCTGGAGTCTTTAGAACTCCTCAATGTTGACTTCAATGACCTGCAAAATGTGCCAATGGAAATGTACCTACTGAACAGGCTTGGGAGGTTGGCCTGCCACCCTCTGGATAAAGGACTACATATTATTCACAACCCCCTCCTCAAGCCTATTCAGGAGGTGCTGCAGGGAGGACTCAGTGCCCTCTATAACTACCTCAAGCCCACGTGAGGGACAACCACTGTGTGTGTGTGTGTGT